GGCTTTAACAAGGTTTTTTGACGGAGTCAGAAAAATTAGTAATTTTCCTTAATTATGCTAGAAAAAAATTTTTTTTTTCCTAAATTTGCGACTTGGTATGATCATATAATAATAGTTGATGCTGTGAGGTCAGGAAATTATGACTTGAAAGTCGCTGCATCAACTCCCGTTACCCTGATCTATTACCTAAAATGGAGTTGCCAGCGATATATCGAATAATTGGAGAAATTAAACAACTCCAAGATAATAAATATCATGAAGATAATAAATAAAGCCTTTAAAATCAATATAATAGTTTTATTTATTATAATCATTTTAATAAAGATAATGAATATATGGGATATAATAATTATATTAAGTACTAAGTAAAAATTTATTATAAATAAAGGTATTACTGCCCTCAAGAAAGAGAGTCTTGTTGGATTTACTAATAACTAAATCCCAAATTTATTGAATATATTATTATATTGTCTTATATAAAAAATTACCATTATATTAATACATTCTTTTAAACCCTACACTATAAATTATCATTCATTAAGTCATCAATTACATGATCAAGTATTGCTGAACAAAGTAACTGAAGTCTTAATCATCCACTAGCCAAATCTAATATACCTTTTTCATAAGGTTACCTACCACAGGTTATGTAATTTTCTGGATTGTGAAGCAACTGAGTTGTAGTCTTTTAGTCAACACAATGCTTATCTATAGTATTAAAGAGACAAAACTTTTGTAAAGTTGTTAATCAATAGAAATTCTATTGGTAATTAAATCATTGGATGTTTTTTCTAGCCTTTCAAGTTCTTTTAAAACATTATCCAAGATTGGATATTTATTAAAATTTGTAGATTATCATTTCTTGTAAAGTTTGATATAATCTGCAGATGTGTTAATAATATTCTTTTCTCTTTCATTTTTTGAAATTTTTGTAATTATTATACTGTTATTCATTTTGCTAAATGGTGAAATTCCACTTGTAAGCTCCTAGAATAATACATCTAGACTATATATATCAGATTTTTTATTAAGTTTAAAATTTCCATTATAGCAGATTTGTAATACAATATATGCTAAAATATTTGCTACTGTTAAAACTTGAAAAATATTTTTATATATCATCCAATAGCTTTGATATTCAAAAATTAGCAATTAAGGCCTTTTTTTTATGAAATAAAATATTCTTAAAATGCAGATTCTGATAAAGAATTTTTTTAGGTGCAAATATTTTAGCCTTGTAGTAATATCTTTTGCAATTTGAACAAGTTCAACTCAAGAAATTTTGTAAAAAGAGTTTCTTATTTTTTCATAAATAATCTCATAAACTATCATCACTTGCAAGTTATAACACTATTATAAAAGGGTAATTCTATTTTGACCCGGGTTATTTTAACCTGTCACGTGACCTGAAGAGGCTTTCTATTTTAACCCAGGTTAAAATAACCTATCACGTGGTATGTGGCTAGTGTGGCTTAATTATTTTTCTCTGAAATTAAAATTTAGCGGATCGATAAAATTCTGGTAGAGATTAGAACTGCCTAAAATTTTCTTAACTGTTTAATTTAGTGGTATTAAAATTTAACAAACATAATTCTGCCTTTCACAATAAAAATTTTTATGCGGTTAAACGGCTCTAATCTCTAATCATTCCATCAAAATAGACCAAAATAGACTTTGTTAAAGTTACTCAAATTTTACTATAAAACAATAACGATAGCTTTATCTATTAAATGAATAGTTGGTTAGTACTATTACTTAATGCCAGTACAGCTTTAATAAATTCTGATATTTTAATCAATCTACTAAATTTCAGATGTGCCATGATTTATCTTTTTTATTTTTGACTAAATATTAGATGAAGTTAGTATATAGAAGTATGCTGGTTATAAGCCAAATCGATATTAATGCTGGCTAAATTAAACAATTAAGCTGTTTCAATTAGAGTTTGGCAAATATTGGTGAAACTTATATCATATGTATATAAATATTATTAGAAGTTATTATTGAGTTAGTTAATCGAATCTGAGTTCTTGCTATTACTGTTCTATAGTATAATTTATTAAATCATACGTTATATTGATGTATTTATTACAAACAGTATCATTACTAATAGATAAATTAAACAAGTATAGTAAATTAATATCACTTACACCATATTATCATCATAGCTTTGCTTGTATATAGATTGATACAGACAAGTAATTAACAATTATAACTTCTTATTTGATTATTCCTTTGCTAATGAATCCTATTGTCAAAATGAAATCAATGAAATTACTTGCATCAGATAGGACTATTGTTGGCATAGCAATTCTTCACGAAGAATGTAATCAATTCCATAGTATTACAATACCCTCTTCTTATTGCATACTTAGTTTAACAAAATGTATTAGCTCTTATCCTCTTGAAATTTCAGACCTATTTGAAAATCATACCAATCTTTCCCAACTTAGTATTGGTGAATTTTTTATATGGCGTCGTTCTTTATTAGAACTAGATTTAGATACAAATCAATCTATAAATCAAGAATTAGCATTACCTATAAACCAAGAATTAGCACCACCTATAAACCAAGAATCGGTACTACCTATAAATCAAGAACCATTATCACTATCTATTAATATAGCCAAAAAATCTTCATTTGATAATAATTTAGCTGAACCATCAATAATTGTAGGATATACTTTACTGAATGGTGTGATGTTCAACAATATATTAATGCTTATGCTATTAAGCAAGGATTTGCTACAAGGCTTGCACGTACAGATAGAAATTTAGGTTTAATAGTCAGAGCAGATATAGTTTATCATCGTGCTGGCACTGCAAGTAATAAAAGTACTGGATTACGCACTACAAGAAGTGTTACAACTGGTTGTCAATTTAAAGTAACAGTTCGTTGGGTAAAAAATGAAAATCAATATTGTATAAAATCAGCAAATATTGAACATAATCATCTATTAGATTCTGCAGTTGTTATATTTGATCCTGGTTATCGAAAATTAAGCAGCAATGAGAAAACTCAAATTCAAGTGCTTCACAATAGTGGTATACCAATACCTACAATTGTTAATATGTTAACTGAAGAGTATAGTCGATATATTCATAGCAAATATGTATATAATGCCTTAACTTGTCAAGCTCATGATCGTATTAAAGGTTTATCCCAAGTTGCTGAATTATTGAATAATCTACAAAATAAAGAAGAGTATACTGTTACTTATTCTGTTAGAAATAATAAACTTTATAGTTTATTTTTTACTACTTCTAATTCATTAATGGTATTCAAACGGTATCCTCAAATTGTATTAATGGACTCAACATACAAAACCAATCGTTTTGGAATGCCACTTTTACTTATTAGTGGGGTTGATGCAATAGGAATTACATTTTTAATTGCAAGTAGACTTATTTCAAATGAAACTATATCAAGCTTTTGTTGGGTACTTCAACAATTAAAACAAGTAGTCGGTGATATAACTATAAATAAAATTCAAACTATCTTAACTGATAGAGATCTTGCTATGCTTTCATCTATTCGAAATGAGTTATCACATGTCAAACACCAACTTTATATTTGGCATTTAGAACAAAATATAGTTAAAAATTTAACTGGCAAACTTGGTAATAGATTTTTAGCATTTAGTAAAGATTTCAAAATTACAATGATGCAAAATACTGAAGAAATGTTTGAAACAAACTGGAATTATCTTTTGATAGAGTATCCTGAAGTAGAAAATTATATGAATAAGCAATGGAAACCTCTTTCATGTGCATGGGCATACTGTTTTACTAATAAAAATACTAATTATGGAATAAGAACAACACAATGATCAGAGGCTAGTAATGCACACCTAAAACGTTTACTTGGTTATACAGTACCTTTACCTGAGTTAATAAATGCATTGGATAAATTATCTTATCAACAACTTCAACATTCAAAATATCAACAATATCGTATACGTGGAAGTACTCTTCAGCAATGTTCTGAATTGCTTAAAAGCATTTCAGCTATTGTATCAAATTTCACATACTCATTGATATTAAAGCAATATAATTTAGCTAATACTAAAAATTATTCTATTGAGAAACAAGATCGCTTATTTAAAGTTTATTATAATAACAACTACAAACATACTGTATATCAAA